GCGGCGAAATTTCGAATGAGGCGACGCGTGAGATAGGCGCGGGTAAAGGCGCGTGTGCGGGGCGCACCGCGTGTGGAGGTTCGAGTGAGACGTCGCTCGGTTATAAATTAAAGCCCGACACGTTCGATGGGAGTGTTCCTCTGCGCGAATATTTAGCACAGTTCAATTTAATTGCGCAAGCGAATGGCTGGGAGGAATCTTCGAGAACCGTGGCTTTAGCCTCGAGCTTAAGAGGGAAAGCGCGTGCCGTGCGGATTAGATGGGTAACCGAATTCGAGAGCCTTCGCTATTCTGAATTAGAGGCTAGGTTAGAGTTGCGTTTTGGCAAAGCGCATAGGTCTCAAACGTTTTACACCCAGTTCACTAATCGGAGACAAAAACCCGGAGAAGATCTGCCCGTTTTGGGAGCGGATTTAGAACGTTTAGCGCGTTTAGCCTATTCGGAATGCTCGGCCGAGGTGCGGGATAAGATTGCGTGCGCCCAGTTCGTTGCGGCCACGGTCTTACATAGGGTGCATTCGGGGAGCACGCTATTAGCACAATTATCGTCCAAAACTGTTCGAGGAGACGCTTTGTGGCGCTGTGATAGTCGATGATGACGTCACTGTAAAGGCAGCGTGACGTCATCACTCGCGCTATTTTCGCTATTATTTTAGGCACGAAATACTATTGGCGCTTAAGCTGCGTTCGGGAAGCTTGCTATCGCTGTCGCGCTATTGGCTCTTCGAACGAAGTTCATAGCGTTTGCGTTTATAGCGTTAATAGCGTCTCCCCGAATGCACCCATACAGGTCTGGACACTCCTATGGTGGGGGTAGGTCGCAGATAGTCGCCAAAAATTGTTTGTCTCTTGGCCGCGAGAGTCGCTGCGGTAGGGTAGTAAACAGAGATAGAAATATAGTCGCTCTCTGTCTCTCTTACATAATTGTACATAACCACATAACGTAGCGTAGCTTGCTATCGAAGATATAAAAAGAGTTGAAAGAGTGACCGAGTCTCATCGAAACGTGAACGTGTTCGGACGTGTTTCGTCCAGAAACATTTTTGAGAACATATCCTACAGTATATTAAAGTTGTATGTGAAAATGCCTAAGTCGTGCGTCGTGCCGAATTGTAAGTTTGTGTATTGTGAGACTTCAAAACGCTCAGTGTTTTGCGTACCAAAAGACGCCAATCGGTACAAACAATGGGTAACAGCTATTCCGGGCATTGTTACACTAAAACCGACACACGTAGTTTGCGACAAACATTTTAAAGAGGAAGATATAATCCGTGAATGGATCAAACGAGACTCGAATGGTCGGATTATCGCTCAGGTAAGTTTATATTGAACAAATTGTACATGTGCAAACAGGATGCGATCTCATATTACATGTGTTATATTGAAGGAACCATACAAGTACCCTCAGCTCAGTAAGTTTGCTGTTCCATCAAAGTTTGATGACCTTTCTACAGCAAAGGATTGCGTTGTCCCATCGACTGAACATTTCGGTCATTTAGCTCCAAAAAAAGTTACGATTGATGATGTCGTTAACTCTGTTGGAAAGTCGTCAGTTGAGGAGTCCGTCCAAATCGCACACGATTCGATAGATCCATCAATGGAATCTGCCGCGTCTTCAAGTGCTACAAGGCAATGGAGCATTTCTGGCGAGTCCGCTGGCTTCATGAACGATTCGGTTCAGCTTATTGGCTCTTCGATCAAGGAATCCTCTGCTGGACCAAGTATTTATTTTACAACTTAAAAAATATAATAGAATGTATAGTAATTACAATATTTAATTCTTTTAATATTACAGCTACCAGCTGCAGTTTTGTGTTGCCAATTGTGGATGGCGCCGAATTGGTTTCACCGATGGAACTTACAGATACTGATCCTCTGGTGACAGGACCGGTAGCACTTGAGGAACCAATCGACATATATACATCCGTTACCACAAGGAAATGTAAGTTACTGAGATGAGTCTTTAATGACTCATAAGTGTGAATCATTTAACACTTATGCTTATAAATCGAGACAAAAAACTTCTTAAAAGAAGATAAATTATAAATTAAACCCAAGGATAAGCTGCAAAATCTAAAAAAAAAAAAAAAACGATAGATAAATAATTGTAATTAATACTGAGATACTTACCTTCACTAGTAATATACATTCATTTGATCAGCTAAAAATCTGAAAAAGAAAAATATACGGATTTTTTATCAATAGTACTTGCTTCATTGTTATATAGATGTAGAAAACGAAAGTGGTCGTACCTATCAAGAGATTTGTAGCAAATTACCTGAATATTGGAGCGTTAACAAGGCACCTGCTACAAACGGAAGAATTATTATATTTACCTACATGATAACGCCAGTCAAGAATGGAAAGCGTTTGCCGGTATCACAAAAATGCGTCATTCTCGACTCGGATAGAAAACTTCAGTTTTACGTTTACGGACGGGACGTTGACTCACAAAAAGCAAATCTTGACGAAACTTTGGAAGGAATCGAAACGCTTCCAAACGTCTTGAACAAATTTAAGGAGATGAACGTTTGCAGTGGCGTCGGCGAAGTTAATATCGATCTTCTTCGAGCTGATACCGTATTTCAAGACGGCATTCAACAGTGGCGCAGCAAAGACTGCAGTCTTCTCTTCAAAAAACGAAGATGCGATAGCTGTATGAAAATGAGGAAACGCATACAGGGCTTAATAACACGGAATAAAAATCGTAAGAAAAATGGAATTTTTCTAAGAAACATCGGTGCTTCGAATTCCATAGAGCGTCGTAACCTCGTAGCGCTGCGATTAAAATGCCGACGTCAAAAATGTCAACAAAATCGAGCTAAAGAACGCGAGAAACATCTGATGAGCTGTCTAAAAAAACAAGAAGAACAAATAGCTAATATGCAAGAGGCAACTTTAGATGAGAAATGCTCTGCATTAAACGTTCCAGCTGCTCAACAATTGGCACTGAAAGAAATCGTAGCCGCAGCGAGCAAGAAAGACACCAAGAGTCGACGTTACAGAGAGGACTGGATGATGTTGTGTATGCTGATGAACATCCGATCCCCGGGATACTATCAGTTCCTGCGGAAAAACAATATTCTGCCACTATTATGCTTAAAATCGGTACGCAGGTATTTATCATTAATTGATATGAAATGCGGCTTTGACGAACGGTTTGCAGAATTACTTAAAAAACATCTTGCTACAAAAACTCTTCTGCAACGACACGGCGTACTGCTGCTCGATGAAATCAATCTACGGAAATCTGTAGCCGTGTGTTCCAAGAATTTGACTTATGTCGGCTTGACAGATTTGGGCGACAACGGGCTGCGATCTTCGGACATAAGCGAACAGGCAACGCATGGTCTAGTTGTAATGTTTCAATCTCTTGCCGATACTTACACGCAGCCAATCGCAGTTTTTGCTTCAAAAAATCCAGTTAAAGGAGAAGAGCTCGCTAAGCTAATTGTAAAAGGAATTATCTATCTGGAGAAGTGCGGAGCGACAATTCACGGTGTTATTGCTGATGGTGCTGCAACAAACCAGAAGATGTGGTCGCTTCTGGATGTTAGGAGTACGATGCAAAACACCAAGACATGGTTCACTCATCCTTCAGACGATGAAAGAAAAGTGTTCGTTTTCTCCGACACGCCGCATGTGATTAAGAACATACGAAATCGACTGTTGAACCAAAAGAAACTGCGGGTAATTTTTTATTTATACTTATTATGCTTTAAAAAAAAACATGTAAAAATTGAGGAACTAGTGGATTGACCCTCTAATAACTGATACATACTACTATTGACAACGTCATAATAACTAGTCTATTACATATATTCTTACTCTTTTATAGCTCAATTCCACGGAGAACTACATTTGTTGGCAATATTTCGAGACGTTGTATGAGCTCGATAAAAGCCATCCAGGAAATGCCCATGCATGTCCAAAAATAACGGAGCGACATGTACACATGGATAACGCATCAAAAATTCGATTAGCGACCCAGGTATATGTACATGTGATTAGTTCGACAAGAAAGAAACATGTTTGTTGTGCTTCTGCTTTATATTCCTAAAAATACTTTGTGTCTTCTAGATCTTTAG